CATAGCTGCCATGTGGGTGCTGGGAATTGAACCCAGGTCCTCTACAAGAACAGTCAGTGTTCTTAACCACTGAACCATCTCTCCAGACCCACAAAAGATTTATTTTTATTATTTTTATTATTCATGTGTGTGTGTGTGTGTGTGAACATACGCCACATGTGTGTGCCCTCAGAGGCCCGAAGTAGGTGTCAAATCCCCTGGAGCTGGAGTTACAGGCAGTTGTGAGCCACCCAACATGGGTGCTTGGAACTGAACTTGGGTAAGTGCTCTTAACCATTGAGCCATCTCTATAGCTCCCAAATAAAAAATGTTCTAAATGTAGGTTTTACAACTGTGAGCTTATTAAAAATACTGAGCACTTTGGGTAAATCATGGAGTATGAATTATGTATCAAAGGATCTTAGGATCAGCAAGATTACTCAGCAAGTAAAGGAGTTTGCTGCCAAGCCTGAAGACCTGAATTTTATCCCTGGGACTCACAATGTGGTGGAAGGAGAAAATCATCTCCCACAAGTTGTCCACTGACCTCCATATGCGTGCACTCACATGTGTGCACATGCAATAAATAAATACGATAAAAAATTATTAATCTTAGAAAAAGAACCTAAGATCAAAGAGTCCATTTAGGATCCCACTGTGGTGGCTTGGAGTGGGGAGATGGGAGAAGGGGTCAGATGTTGAATGTGTTCTGAGGTGGCGCTCTCAAGCTTGGTGATACCACGTGGGCATTGTAAAAGAAAGTGGACTTGATCAAAAAGGAAGTCATGGAGGACAGTTTTTGGCCCGAGTGACTGTGTAGCACTCACTGATATGTGACACCAGGCAGGGGGAATGATGGCGCGTTCTGACTCGGGCACGTCAAGTCGGAGATACCTCTGCTTGTGTAGGTAGGAAGGAATGGAGGCTGGTAGCTTGTCAAATCCACACCTCAGAGGAAAGGTGGCTACTGACCTTAGCTTGGAAGTCACTGACCCAAACAGTGTTTTGCTAGCAGCTTTCCCCTCACTCCAGCAATAAAGCAAGCACAGGGTAGACAGAACTCATCCACCTTTGGTGCCAATCAAACCCATAAGCCTGCAGTCACAAAATCTCCTCCACTGGACAGGGAGGGTCTTAAAAGGCAAGAATGACTTTTAGTTCTATTTGTTTACTTCAGACCCAGCACCTGGTACTCAGAGAACCAACAATGAGATGAGAGCGGGATGTGCTTGAGTGTGAGCAAGTCTAAACACTGAGGAAGTTCAGCGCATTCTTGGGCTTCACAGTTACCAGACTATGAGGGTGTTCACAAGGTTCGCAGCAGCAGAACAGAAGGTTCAAGGGTGGCTGGAGCTTGGGCTGGAGAACTCAACAGAGACACTGAACACACGTCCTGCTGGCTGTATGAAACCCCTCATTTGTGAAAAAGTCCTTGGCAACTTCTAAAGCGAACTCACTACAACTAAGCCTAAA